AAATTCCCATCAAAATACCAACAAAATTTTTCTCTGACCTTGAAAGAACAATTCTCAAATTCATATGGAAAAGCAAAACAAACAAACAAACAAACAAAAAACTCAGAATAGCGAAAACATTCCTATAAAATAAAAGATCTTCTGGAGGTATCTCCATTCCTGACTTCAAGTTGTATTACAGAGTAATTGTAATAAAACTGCATGGTATTTGCCTAGAAACAGACTGATTGATAAATGGAATTAAATTGAAGATCAAGAAATAAGCTCACATACCTATTGACACTTGATACTTGACAAAGAATCCAAAATCATACAATGGAAAAAAGACAGCATCTTCAACAAATGGTGCTGGTCCAACTGGATGTCTATATGTAGAAGATGCAAATAAATCCATATTTATCACCCTGCACAGAACTCAAGTGTAAGTGGACCAAAGACCTCAACATAAAACCAGAAACACTAAATCTATTAGAAGGGAAAGTGGGAATCACCCTTGAACTAATTGGCACAGGAGACAACTTCCTAAACAGAACACCAACAGCACAAGCTCTAAGACCAATAATCAATAAATGGGACCTCATGAAACTGAAAAACTTCTGTAAAGCAAAGGACAGTGTCAATGAAACAAAACTACCATATAGATTAAGAAAAGGTTTTTTTCTAATCCTAGTATCTAAAATATATAAAGAGCTAAAGAAATTAAACACCAACAAACCAAATAACCCATCTAAGAAATGGGGTACACCCTTAAATGGAATTCTCAACAGAGGAATCTTGAATGGCAGAAAAACACTTAAAGAAATGCTCAACATCATTAATCATCAGGGAAATTAAAATTAAAATGACTCTGAGATTCCATCTTATAATTGTCAGAATGGCTAAGATCAAAAACTCAAGTGACAGCACATGCTGGTGAGGATGTGGAGAAAAGGGAACCCTCCTCCATTGCTGGTGGGAATGTAACCTTGTACAACCACTTTGGAAATCAATCTGGTACTTTCTCAGAAAATTGGAAATAGTACTACCTCAGGACCTACCTGTAATAGAAGTTTTGGTTTCTTTGTAAACTCAGTCATGTCATGTAAATATATTTTTGTTTCAATCCCAATTGTGGGATTTTAGTTGGGCTATAGTTTGTCCACAGCTGTTAACTGTGCATAATCTTTGCTAGCTGGAAATGGCCTTCCATGGGCACCATGGAGAGAGGAATGGTCTAGGGCTCTGAAGATATAAATTTGAGAACCCAGAAAGAGGTGGTGTGGCATGTGGTGTTGGCCTGTAGTGTATAGAAGTTTGAAGAGACCAGAGAGACTGATGATGTTGTGGTTTGGAGCAGACAGAAGGAGAGAAACACTTTAGGGTACAGTGACTGAGGACACTGTTGGCTGCATCTGCTATTGATGAAGATTGGTATAGCCCTAAAAAAAAATCCAGTGACCCTAAATAGCTGGGAGAAGTAAAGGCCCTCTTTTCCCACTAACCTTCTCTCTCCTACCTCCGGTTGGGAGATTGGAAAGTAGGTTGAGGCTTATGCACCCCAAATAAAGTAGAGTTTTAAAAAAGAGCATTGCACCCAGCTGTACCACTTCTGGGCATATATCCAAAAGAAGCTCCAGCATACCACAAGGGTATTTGCTCAACTACATTCATAGTGGTTTTACTCATAATAGTCAGAAATTGATAGCAAACTAGATGTCCCTCAACTGAAGAATGGATAAAGAAAATATGGTACATTTACACAATGGAATACTACTCAGCTATTAGAAACAAAACAAAAAAAAATCATGAAATTTGCAGCTAAATGATGGAACTAGAAAGGATCATCCTTAGCATGGTAGCCCATAACCAGAAAGACACAGGTGGTATATACTCACTTATAAGCAGATATTAATCATATATTACAGGATAACTATACTAATAAACATGGACCCAAAGAAGCTAAGTAACAAGGATGGACCAAGGTAGGCCCTCCTTGAATCTCACTCAGATGGTGAAATAGAATAAAGAGGAAGTATACGAGGATCTGGAGAGGATGTGTGGAGGGAAATAAGGTGGGAGAACAGATGTGGGGAGAGTGGGGAGGGGAGGTTTGAAGGCCAGCGGAGAAAAGGGAAACCGATGGTGGGTACATCACTGAGACAAACTGAAGACCTGCGACATGGTAGGCTACAGAGAGGATATGGGTATGTCTGTAGCTAAGCCTCCTAGCAATGGGGTACATGAGACCTAAGGTGGACACCTTCTAGCTAGGAAGGACCGATAGTAGTGGGAAAAGAACACCAATCCACCAGCAACACCTTTGAACCAAAATTTAACTTACCTACAAGATGTGCAGAGATAAACAAAGTAGGGGACTGAGGGAATGATCAATGCCAGGCCCAAGCTGACACCCACTTCATGGGAAAGAGCCAACCTCTGACACCATTATTGAAATGCTGCCATTTTTACAGACAGGAGCCTCTGAAAGGCACCCTCACCAGCTGATTGAATCAGATGCCGAGACTCACAGCCAAGCATCAGGTGGGACTTGGGGAGTCCTGTGGAAGAGTGGGAGGGGAAGGATAGAAGGACCCAGAGGAGACAAGAATTCCGCAAGAAGACCAAGAGAGTCAACTAACCTATACCCATGGCAGCTTACAGAGACAGAAGCACTAACCAAAGAACATATATAAACTGAACCTAGGCTCTCTACACATAGGTAACCAATAGGCAGTTTGATCTTCATGTGGGTTCCTTAGTAAGCTGAGTGTGTGCTGTCCATGACATGGACTCTGTTGCCTGCTTTCAATCACTTTGCTCTAGCCAGGCTGCCTTGCCTGGCCATAGTGGATGAGGAAGAGCTCAGTTTCGATTTGACTTGATGTCTTGATGTGCTGGGGTGGGATAGAGGTGGGGAGCTCTCTTTTCTGAAGAAAAGTGGAGAGCAGTTAGGGTGAAGAAGGTGGGAGGCAGGGGCCGGAGGAAAGGAGGGAGGACACTATGATCAGGATATAAAGTAAATACATAAATTTAAAAATTCTCTCTACAAAGAAAGTAATAAATTGACAACTTTAAAAAAAGATAATATGAAATCAGATTTTACAAAGTAGTTAATTCACAGTGAACTACTAACTGCTTGTTATCACAAATATATACAAGTATATTCAGCAGAGTATTGTGGGAACACACAGAACAAAGTACTTCAGTCCTGTGCAGCCGGTTTCTGCTAGTTACCATGGAAACAAGGTCACTGTGTGGGAGGAGCTTGAAGGAAGTATATTCCTGACACAAAACAAGCAATGAACAGAAAGAAATGAAATTAGAGACATTTGTGCCTATATCTCCACCCTGTAACCACAACTGTATGGCTTACATTCTATCTGTAGTCAGGATCCTGGGGGCAACTTTACAAAGCAGAAGAGAAACTAAGTCAATTGCCCACAAAGAACTATTTTTTTTCTCTGAGTTCCAAAAGCAACACCCTGGATAATATTTCACATTATTTAGTTATAAGAAAACTTCCTTGTCCGTTTACAATAGGAACATTCTTCTTGCCCACATCCTCCAGGTGGCTGCCCTTAAAAACAGCAGTTACTGAGAAAGAGTCCATCAAAATCTACCCTGGAGCCTAACCAGAATACTGCTACCAACAAGAGAACAAGACATGTTGATGTCCCTCTTACGTGTAAAAGACCGTTGATTCTCAAACACTGATGTGCCTCAGTATCGCCCATGGTGCCTGTGAGGAGAGATTGGTGGACCTCACCTCAACACTTCTTTCTAGGTCCATTCAGAAGGAAGCATAAGAATTAGCACTCCAGCAAGTATAGGAATCACACTTTGAGAAGCAGAGAGTTTGAAAAAAAAAAGTTATTTTTTGAAAGACAAGGGATGGCATGTCACAGCAAGGCATACCTTCCCACATTCCATACAATTCACAGCCAGACAGTTAAACCATAACATTTTGTTCTCTTCCCTTCAAATTTTGACAACAGCATGGAAATCCGTTGAATTTCACCAAATTCAGGATGCTTTTCCTTCTTCTTCAAGTCCTAAGACATGCTCTCATTATCATTTTCTCCTAGCATCTCTTAGCCCATAATCCCCTTCACTCTGAGTCACAGTTTTTAGCTAACATCCTATTCATGCATTTGCAACATTCCCCAGAATTTTCCTGGACTTTTTTTATTCAAGGCCTACTCATCCTGAAAAAAAAAAAACAAAAAGTAGCCATAGCCAGTGCTCACATTCTACATGTAAACCTCAAAAGCAAATTGTGTCTTGTGTACATTAGGAATAGTTGGAAATTTATCTTTTGAAATTACATTCAACAATATAAGTGGTCTACTCCTACTGAATTCAAACTAAACCTCCCAGGACAAACAACATAAATTTTCTAAAATTATAAGTTTAAAGACACTTAAAAACCATTGAAGTCTCTATAGCAGAGGTTAGCAAACCTTAAAGTCTGTGAAAGAGATCCAGCTAGCCACCTGTTTGTGCCTTTCAGCTAAGTGTGGTTTGTAAACTTTTACATGATTGGAAAGAAAAATATCAAAAGAATAATATATTGCAGTATGTAAAAGTTTTATGATATTCAAATGTCCATTAAATGTTTTATTAGAGCACGTTTGCACATGTGTTTAATTCTGTCCATGTAGCTTTCACAGTATAACAGCATTATCTGATTGGCTGTGATGAAGGCCGTATGGCTCAGAAATCTCTGGTCCTTGAAATCTGCTGATTCCCTCTCTGCATTATCTCCTCAAGACAGACAGACAAACAGAAATGGAAAGACAATAGGCAAGGGGTGATATGACTTTAGAATAACACATGAAAATAGCACTCAAGGAAGAATCTGGAAATACCTATGTATTCATCAACCTCATTAAAACTATAGAAACTTGTTCCTGGGCTTAAAATCAGATGAGCTGAGTAACAGCTCTTATAAAAAGAGGGGTGTCCTAAATTCCAAACACTTTCGAAAAAGAAAGGACTATAATCATGGTCCCCTTAGGCACCTGTCTAGTTCCATGAGTTTTCTGAAGTTCTTCCGATGAGGTGTGGGCTTGAGGCCTACACAGGAACGGAAAGAATCCTCTTCAGATCCAAAGCCATTGTAAGGTGGATATTTCCTTTCTATTTTTGGAAGAGGAGGAGGCTTGCATGGAATGGGCGTAAAGTTATCTATAACAAAACAAAGGCAAACAAAACATCATTTTTTGCCCTGATTATGGCTGTTTTGAATGGTGTGTTGTTATTTCAAGATGAACATGGAGATTTTGTAGACTATTTTAAACTCTTTCAAACAAAACAGGGTAAAATCCTATAAGAGCTGGTTTCAATCATATTTATAAAACCACAAAGTTCACTTAATAGTCGTTGCTTCAAAAGAGAAAAAAGAAACAGAAATCTTTGTCAAATAAGTAAACATTTCTTTTTTGTCCTCAATTCCACATTTCTGAATATTATTTTGCTCTTCCCTTGATTTTTCTTATTATATAAAAACTCAAACTTGAAACTTTGTGCCATCAAGTCCATAATTTAACCTGTAATTTGTTCTGCTTCTATCTTCAGTTAACACTCATGAATAAAATTTATTTTCCAAATAGAACTGAATTCTGTCTGTTTTCCCTTTAACTTTATCTATCAGCCAGCTCTTCCTTCTTAGATCTACATTTAAGACCTCTCCCTAGCCTCCAATTCAACTCTAAGACACTGTACTTTGTTGTCTACTAAAAACCAAACAGAAAAATAAAATCCCCTTCCTGTCACAAGCTACTGCTCCAGGTTACTTATTGCTCAAGAAAAAAACTGCAATGGTAGTTATAGTGAAGGAAAAACCAAACAGTTAAGGATACCAAATTTCCTTCACTCAAAGGAAATGTGATGGGGTCAGTACTGTTGAATTTGTTTTTTACTTACTATGGGTAAGAATGGAGAAGTTGTGGCAAACTTATAATATCTCTAGAAGTTCTTGAGTAATCATTTATGGGACTATGTAATCTAAAAGAAGCTTTTTAGCACAAATAACATAAGTCACTGTTCTTAGAATGGCAAAAATTCTAGAATACTGCCCAAGAAAAAATTAAAACACAGAGACTTCTTTCTATGTCTACCCCAAGCTTGATAGGCATTTCAGTGGGGAATATAGAAAGTTCTACAGTTGTAAATATTTCCTTTTCCACAGTAAAACTTGTAATAGAAGAAAACAACCAAAATTTTGGTACATACTACCATTAAAAAAAAAATATGCATCTTATAGCCAAACTTTGGGCAGAGTGCAGGGAATCTTATGAAAGAAGAGGGAGATAGTAAGACCTGGAGAGTACAGGAGCTCCACAAGGAGGACAACAGAACCAAAACATCTGAGCCCAGGGGTCTTTCCTGAGACTGATACTCCAACCAAGTACCATGCATGGAGATAACCTAGAACTCCTGCACAGATTTAACCCATGGCAATTCAGTGTCCAAGTGGGTTCCATAGTAATGGGAAGAGGGGCTGCCTCTGACATGAACTGATTGGCCTGCTCTTTGATCACCTCCCACTGAGGAGGAAGCAGCCTTAGCCGGCCACAGAGGAAGACAATGCAGCCACTCCTGATGAGACCTGATAGAATAGGATCAGAAGGAAGGGGAGGAGGACCTCCTCCATCAGTGGACTTGGAGAGGGACGTGGGTGGAGAAGGAGGAGGGAGGGTGGGATTGGGAGGGGAAGAGGGAGAAAGCTACAGGGGGGATACAAAGTGAAAAAACTGTAATTAATAAAAAAAATTTGTCATCTAAAGTAGTCAATTCAACAATTGAAGTACATCATTTAATTCATCAAAATGCAGAGTATGAAGCCATTTCTAATTCTAATTTGAAAACATTCTCAGCTTTCAACTTTTCTTAGATTTCCTAGAGCCCTTTGTGTCAGATTTTCTGAGGCACAATCCCCAGTAGAGTATTGTTCCATCTTAACAGAAATTGTTCACAGCAGACAGGGTGACAAAAGAGCTTCAATCAAATAGTTCTCAGTGGCTTAGTGAAAACGGATAACCAGTGTCCTTACAGAGTCTTGTGATCATCTCCTAATGCTCATTTTGTGATTAAAGTCACATCTTGGAAATAAGGGAAAAGCTCAAACTTTACAAATTGAACTGCAGTAGACACTGTCCTTGCTCCCCGTTAAATAAAAATACACTTTTGTTCCAGTGCAAGAACCATTGAAATGGCAAGGAAGCTTTATGTAATCAGAAAATCGGGGCTTGAGCAACAGAGGGCATATACATACAACTCTACACACCAATGTGTGTTCACTAACTAAAAGATTACACTGTACACTAATCTGAGTGCACTTATAGAAAATTCTGATTCTTAATTACAAAGTCATTAAGAATATTTTCTCCACCCTTCATTACAAATCTTAAAAACATGGTGTTTTTTCTCAAATACCTAATTTTTGCAACAAATTTAACAAAAGAATCAATTTAGAGCTTTCCTCTGCACCCACAGTGCCATCTAGTGTATAAAAAGGGAGAACTGTTCCACATCATTAACCATGACTTTTATAACATCTTATTAGATTAGTTTTGGAAACCGTGGCTCAAGGTTCGGCTTTAAATCCCATCTTCCTGGGTAGCTCACACAGGTTCACAAAGCCACAGAATTATATGTAAAAGAGAAGTTTGCCGTCGTTGGGTTTTCATCACCCCATCAACAGTGCCTACTTCAGGTATTGAGAAATGTTGATCAAATGAAAAGGAACACACTTTTGTACAAAGCAATTATCCTAATATATTCTAAAACTGGTATTTGAGTAGACACTAAAACACTCATATCTTTCAAATACACTAATTTCTCTAATTTCAAATGACTTGTACACATATGTTGAATGTTTACAACTGAGTGCCTATCCACAACTAACTAGATTCTTGACAAATTGCAGAGATTCTGTGTATAGACACAGAGTCTACTTACCATCTCAGGTAGATGTTCATCTTATATGATCTAATAACCCACAGATGGATCCAGACTTTAGGAAATCTGGAGCTTAAATAATTTTGAAGAAATGTTTCATGCCAAAGAATGTCAGACTACTAAGACAAAATTAGGCCAGGGCTTTAGACTAGAGCCCCTATAAAGGAAGAACCTTGAAAACTATGCAACCATCCTTAACTTAAAAGGAAATCCATCTCCTTTGGTAGTTAGTATCTAGGTTAAACAATTAGTGAATTATACAATGTCAGAGCTATTCTTAAACCATCTTCAAACTTTATGAGGGGGTAGGGGGTGAAAGATATAAAACTGTGAAGTCTATCAAGGTTACATGGTAAGACCATACACCAGTTTTATCTCTGCTGCTACAATTTCCTCAAGTGATCACTGACTTTTCTTCTGCCATGTTCTCGTCCTTCTGGTTCTGATAGCTCAGAGGTGGCCAGGGTTGATTGTAGAAAATGAAAGGCACTTAAAAATGCTTGTTAAACCTTAATCTCAATATAAGTACTCAAACTATTGGGAACGAGTGGTGATTATGTTACTGCCTTTGGTTTGCAAATCACCAAAATCAATGATCAGAAAACATTACTACAAGCTAGGTATAGTGGTATATTCCTATAAATCCCAGTACTGTGAGACCGAGTAAGGAAGTTTGCCATAAGTTTATGGGAAGATTGTGTTTCATGAGTAGTGAGTAGTCAGTCAGGACTACAATAACAAGACAGTGTAAGAGAAAGGAAAGAAGACAGAAGAGAGAGGATAAAGGGTCAAAGAAAAGAGAGTACAAAGTAGAAAAATCTTATTAATAAATAACCTAAGGCATAAATTCCTACGTAAGAACAGTTAAAAAAATCAAATCTAGGTCTTCTTAGTACAAGAAAGACAATCTATGCCCCTTGAATCTTTGAAATCTTTATTTATAGCAAAGACCAACAGACTCTACTTGCCAGTCTGTTTTGTGCACATCAACAATGAGGGAATGAACTACTCCATCTTGGCAGGCAAGCCAACAGCAAGATGGACACAGTGGTTGATGCAGAAGTTGCACTCAAAAAGACTGTGCAAGACATCATTGGAATTGTCATCTCCTTACCATCCTAAAATAAATGAAAGAATCTCATCTTTCTATGAGACTACCTCTCATACAAAGGTTCAAATGTCCCTCAGAATTCTATCAAGCTTTGTACTTCGACATTAAATAAAAAAAAAAAATCTGTTGTGAATGTTTTGGTTTACTATGTGTTAACAGGTTTTAGTTAAAATTCCAAGTTTGTCCACACCTGGTAAGTGTCTCATGCAGGGTGTGGTCTTTGCCAGGTGGAATTAGTTGAATTCTGAGGGCTTTGAGGAGTATAAATAATGTCATCCCAGAGGAAGAAGGCATGCTGCTTGGAGGATCGCTTGATACTAGTTCATTCTGCTGCTGCATTCGCTGTTTGCTGATTTGCTGATTACCTGAACTTCTGGATTTCTGGATGACTGATACTGATATTGCCTCCAAAAGAATCCTAGAACCCTCCCCAACAGGAAGTAGCAGAGAGAACTCTGCCCCTGTCCCCATTAACCTTCTTTCTGCCCTATCTGGTGTTGATGTGTTGGAAGGGAGGTAGAAGCATTTAATGACACTAAATAAAGTAAATTTGTTTAAACAAAATCAAGGTCAACAGATATCCATACACCTTCTCTGAATTGTGGCCAACTCCTTTGACTGCCATTTTTTCCCTCTAAAATAAGTTGGAACTTTACTGTGTAAGACAAAAGGTCTAAAGTTCTATAGCTTAATAATGCATTAGAGATGCCCCTGGTGGCTGGGGAGATAACTCCATTGGCAAAGTTGCTGCACAATCATGAACCAAGCATCCATGCAAAAACAAAGCATGACAGCATATGCCTATAATATAACCAATGGGGGATGGGGCTTACTGGCTAGCCAGTCTAAAAGAACTGATGAAGTCTAGGTTCATTGAGAGTCTGTGTCTCAAAAATAAGGTAGAGAGGTATTAAGGAATATACACAACAATGATCTCTTGCCACCACACACACACATTCCCACACATACACACAACCTCTTCTTGCTTTCTTCCAAGACCACAATTATTGGTGGCACATTGTTCTGGTTTGGACTTCAGTAACCCAAAAATAATGTATAAAATTTTTTATCAATTTTTAAAACCAGATGAATTATAAGTGAAATTATCACTCTTATAATCACATTAATAAAGAACAGAATGTTCATTAAAATTGCTTTTAATGTTTATGTCAACCGTTACAGTACATAGAAAAGTTTCTCAACCTTATAAATATTTTTAAGAACATGGCATAGCAACTAATAAAGAAAAATTAGATCAATTCTTTAATTTGTTAAAAACAAGAAATAATTCCATTTAAGTAACATGAAGTATAGACTTTAACTTCACAAAAATAAGAAAAAGTAAATGTAAAGATTATTAGAGAAGATCAATCTATTTCTCAAGATTCAGCCATGGATATACTCTACAGTCATTTGTGCAGTATTAAAGCTTAAAAAGATGCTGTGTAATATTCTTTGATAAATAGAATTCTTAACATGTTAAAAGAAGCATTAAAAAGTCAGTGTGACTTTGAAATGCATCTTTATTTGGTTCTTTTTTATTAATTTATTTTTTATTAATTACAAATTATTCACGTTGTATGCCAGCTCTGCCCCCCTCCCTCGTCCTCTCTCAATCCCAAACTAGCTCTGTCTTCTCCTCCTTTTCCCTCCCCTAGTCCACTGATAATGGTGGTCCTCCTCCCCTTTCTTTGACCTTAGTCTATCAGGTCTCATTAGGACTAGCTGCATTGTCTTCCTCCTCTGCGGCCTGTTAAGGCTGCTCCCCCTTCAGGTGGAGGTGATCAAAGAGCCAGCCACTGAGTTCATGTTAGAGACATACCCTGTTCCCATTACTAAGGAACCCACTTGGATACTGACCTGCCATGGGCTACATCTGAGCAAGGGGGTCTAGATTATCTATATGCATAGTCTTTGGTTGAAGTATCAGTCTCAGAAATTATCCCAGGGCCCAGATATTTTGATTCTTTTGCTCTCCTTTTGCAGTTTCTATTCCCTCCAGATCTGTCATCTCCCCCTTCTTTCATAAGATTCCCTGCACTCTGCCCAAAGTTTGGCTATGAGTCTCAGCATCTGCTTTCATACCCTGCTGGGTAGAGTCTTTCAGAGGCCCTCTGTGGTAGGCTCCTGTCCTGTTCCCTGTTTTCTCCCTCTTCTAATGACCATCCAGTATGACTTTCTGAATGAGGATTGGTCATCTTACCCTGGGTCCTCCTTCATGCTTAGCTTCTTTAGGTGTGAAGATTTTTTAGTATGTTCATCCTATATTATATGTTTAATATCCACTTATAAGTAAATATATACCATGTGTGTCTCTACTTCTGGGATACATCACTCAGGATAATCTTTTCTAGTTCCCACCTTTTGCCTGCAAATTTAGTGATTTTCTTGTTTCTAATTGCTGAGTAGTATTCCATTGTGTAAATGTACCACAATTTCTGTATCCATTCCTCCAGTGAGGGACGTTTGGGTTGTTTCAAGATTCTGCCTATTATGAATAAAGCTGCCACGAACATGGCTGAGCAAATGTCCTTGTTGTACACTTGAGCACTTTTTGGATATATGCCTAGGAGTGGTATAGCTGGATCTTCAGGTAGTACTATTCCTATTTGTCTGAGAAAGCACCAGATTGATTTACAAAGAGGTTGTACAAGTTTACATTCCCACCAGCAATGGAGGAGTGTTCACCTTTCTCCACATCCTCTCCAGCGTGTGTTGTCACTTGAGTTCTTGATCTTAGCCATTCTGATGGGTGTAAGGTGAAATATTTAGGGTCTTTTTAAAAAAGATTTATTTGTATATTTTGTGAACATGCGTATGTATGTACATCTGCACTCCAGAAGACGGCACCAGAAAGTTGTGGGTTGCCATGTAGGTGCTGGGAATTGAACTTAGGACCTTTAGGAAGAACAGTGATTCCTCTTAACCACTGAGCCATCTCTGCATCCCTTTTAGGGTTGTTTTGATTTGCATTTGCATTTCCCTGATGACTAAGGACATTGAACATTTCTTTAAGTGATTCTCTGTCATTTGATATTCCTCTATTGAGAATTCTCTGTTTAGCTCTGTACCCCATTTTTAAAATTAGATTACTTGATTTGTTGCTTTTTTCATACAATATATTTTACTTACATTTTCCTCTCCTCTAATTCCTCCCAGGTCCTTCTCACCTCCACACCCACCTACCTTTATATTCTAGCCCTCTCTCCCAAAAACAAACCAAAACAAAACAAAACTTGATAAACACAAAATGAAAATCAAAATAAGCAAAATATAAATATGACAAAAATTTGTAAAAATGAAACAAAATACCCAAGCATCTTATTTAAAAGAAACTGTAGTTGTTCAGCTTCATCTTACTACTCAGAGAACATTTTTAAGTGAATATTCCACTGTTCCCAAAGGTCCACATTAATCCGCATGTCAGTGTAGCACACATGCTCAAATTCAGCCCACCTTGGATTTTTTCAGTCTATTTAATTTTATTTTATGTGCATTAGTGTGAAGGTGTCAGATCCCTTGGAATTGGGGTTACAGACAGTTGTAAGTTGCCATGTGGGTGCTGAGAATTGAACTCGGGTCCTTTGGAAAAGCAAACAGTGCTCTTAACCACTGAGCCATCTCTCCAGCACCCCCCCACACCTTGGATTTTTAAAAGGACGGTAGTAGTATTGATCATATATAGATTCTTTTCCTATCATTTCCCCTAAATACTAACCAACTATTATATAGCATTCATATTGAATTAGCTATCATAAGTAATATGAAATTGATTTCAAGTAGCAAGGCAACAATAACCTGCTTGTTTCCCAAATTACTAAAGAGGCTAAAGTGGAAGGATTGCAAGTTCAAGATCAGACTGAGTAATATGATGAGACCGTGTCTCAAATTGAATGAATGAGTGAGTGAACACATAAAAGAGTATAATACAGGAGGGTGAGTATAGATTCTTTGCAAATCCTATATCATCTCATGTAAGAGTCTTAGGCATCCCTCAGATATAGATGAAGAGGAAGGGCTAGAACCAATTCCCTGCATGCACTGAAGGAGGATTACATAGAGGACTAGGCACCATCACATCAATTCCAACCCCTACCCTGGTAGGTCAGCAAATCGTATCCATTCCAACAGCAGCACGTGTGAGAACCATGGCTAGACACAAAACATAGGAAGCGGGTAGAGCTGGCTGTCAGAACTTCGGGAGACTGAGGGTGAGAGTTTGACAAATGAAGATTTGGATATTAGATTTTATAACACATCTTCTGCCTCCTTCTAGCCTCACATAATGTACAATGTTTGCTGCAGGTCCCAGATCCCTTTTTCTAGTCTATAAACCTCTTCCATAACCCTGCATCACCTTCAGCCTATTGCACTGACCTACACATAATAAATCACTAGTTTTCATTAAGGTGAATTTACTTGCCTAGTGTTGAATTGATACATATGAAAAGAGAAACAGGAAATCTAGCTGGGTCTCACCAGGAAATGCAAAGCTAACTGGTATATGAGATGTCACTAGAGAACTCAAGTGAGTAACATTCATTGTGCTAAGCAAGAATTAAATGAAATGGATTTAACATTTCTAGTTCAAGTGTCTCACCACAATACTGTGTACCATAGTGAGAAAGCAAATTACAAGGGGAAATGGAAGGCCCTGGCATGAGTCTCTTTCTCTCTACTGCATAACCATGGCCAACTGAGCTTAAAGGGCTTCAGTTTCTTTACCTCTGACATGAAGACAATGAGTCTGCTTATAGAGCTTGTTTTTTTTTTAATATGAAGAGAGACAAGCAAATTCTTAACTAGAGTAGAAAGCAGTTAAAGTGTTAAAAATATTTTCTAACCATCATGAGTATCACTTACCAATTCCATACTTTGTCTTGTAATAGGTCTTGGTAAACTCATCGCAGTCACAAAGGAGGACTTTTCTTCCCCACACATTGATGGTGGCACCTATAGACAGGTCCCGGTCTGTGTAAAACTCTTGCTCAATTTTTCCTAGCTGATAAAACAGAGGAATATATCATTGGCCCTATGGATCTGTCCAAGAACTACATGATGTTTCCCATAAAAGAATTTATAAAAACCACCTTATATCATTTATAACTAAACTTTAAAATCAAACCTAAGAATTAATTTTTAATCATTTTGTGTATATGTGTGTATGATATGTGTTGCACAAGTATATGTGTGCTCGTGTGTGTGATTCCTGTTGAGTATATGCACACATGCCAAGGATAGTATACGGAAGTCAGAGGACAACCGTGGATGTGGAAACTCATCTTCTACCTTATTTGACAAAGGCTCTCTTTGTTGTTAGGCACTGTTGATGCCAGAGCAGTTAGTCTTTGAGCAGCTGAGGATTCCCCTGCCTCAGCTTTTCAAATTGCCAATAGGATGAACATTAACCATAGATGAACATTACTGTGTGTGATTTTACATTGGTTGGGGGTGGTTATACTTAGATCTTCACATTTGTACAGCAAGCATGTTTACAACTTTGCTATCTTTTCAGTTCATCTGAGCATTATTTTGACACTGCAGTACTTGCCCAAACAATGCAATGTATATATTTCTATATGCATTTAAGTATGTTTATTATTGACAAAGAGCAATAGAATGCATACATTTCTGTACTTCTTGCTTTCATTCACTAGCTCACAAGGCAAGAATATACAATTCACCCCAATATCCAGGTTTCTCAAAATTCACATTAGAATCAGTATAAAACACAGGATCCTCACCTGGTATTTATCCCACAGGTAGCAATCTGCTCGCCACTCTGATAAGTCCCCATACACATTGAGAACTGCTCGATCGGTTATCTGGCCTGGTTGATAGATTCTGGTTGGGCCATACTGTAAGATAAAACCAAAGTATGGTAGATGTCTTCAGACACAGAAATGGTAGAGTATTAGAATACAGGCCAGAAATATTCATTGCATGGCTCCTTTCTAACATCTGCAAGAAGCCACACAGTCTATGCACCATACAGCCTTCACAACCCTGATAAATACCCATTTTCCTTCAAACATTTCCACCGTATACGATTTTATCTTTTTTGTTCTTTTGTTTTTGAGACAAGGCCTGATATAGAAAAGGATGACTTCAAACTCAAGTAGTTTAGGATCTTCCTCCTGAACTTCCTCCTCTACTTCTCACTTGCTAAGAGTATAGGCATATCTCACCACACCCACCCTTCATTACTAAAAGTAGCCATCTGCTTAGTTCCCCACTGAAGTACCAGACATACAGAGAACCATTCAATCCATTATCTGCTTCCCTTTCCAGACTTCACCAATACATATACCATGGGATCAGGCCACTTCCTGTATTTCTCCAATTGTTGTGCAGGCAGCCATCTTTTTTTAGTTCCTGAACTGCAAGCATCCCCAAGGAAGAATGACTGGCTCCTTGCCACATGTCTTTGTTTTGTCTACCAAGCTGTCTAATCAAGAGCTCAGAAAATGGAGTACAGCTGGCAGCCTGGCTTGCTCTCAGAATTTCAGCTTCTTCAATTCTTTCACCTCAGCAACATACTCCTTGCTTTGAGTGTCTGGGTCATACCCATCCTTTCTGGATCTCACCCCAGGAAAAAACTATACTCCACAAAACAGGACATACACCATTTTCTTTTTCATTATAGCCCAAGAGTTTGCACACAGAATTTAATATCTGTTGAATAAATAAGTAAAATTAAGCTACTGATGGTAAGACATACTGCAAATGTCAGGTGCATCATCATTTCATATTTAAACTATTTTTCAAATACATTCTAAAAACAGATTTCCCTGGTACCTCCTGGAAGCCTGCTGTTCATATTCTAGAGCTCCCTCAAGGACAAACTCTACCTTTCCCCAGCCTTGAAGTAACATAGCAGTACTGGCAGTAGGCACAGAAATTTGGGCGAGCCTCCTGTAAGGATTGAATGGCCAGCAGTTGTTTGCATAAGAAATGAGTGCTCCTGGTAATCTTTTCAGAAAGAGTAAGAATGAAGTTTAAATATTTTATCCAAATTAGAAATAAAATGCAAAATAGATCTGTGACCAGATAGGTATTAACATATGCATCCTCAGATAGTGGCTCTTACTGTACTATCTCATTTAATCCTTCTAGTTATGGAAGCTATGTTAACTGTATTTTAAAGACGTGGAAATATGTGTTCAAAGAGTTTATGTAGCTCACTTATGCTCACATGGCTATTAAAGGGCAAATCCACAATTCTGATCCTGGTCTATCTCTGTATCATTCCTGCTGTGCCAGTTACATTCGCTTTCAACTTTGAACAAGTATTTGTAGAAAAAAATCTTGATAAATATTTCTCATAGTAAATAAAATGTCAATGTCATTGGTTACCAGTTATTTGGTGACTACTCACTATACTTATAATTGTAATTTGCTCCTTTCCATATACTTCTGTGTAGGTTTGTATACAAATGTGCGTATACATGTGTATGCAGGTGTGTGTATTCATGCCTGGATCATAACAAAGGGTCTTCTTGGCAGGCTATAGAAGCCAAATGGTAGTGTTACACTCCTGAAGCTAGTCAATTAGCTTCAAGAGAGTCCCATATTTCATAATGCTGAATGTTGTGAATTCAACAAAAGAATAGTTTCTTGCCTTACACATCTTCCTTTCCTTTACTTGTAATATTTGTGCTGGATAGTTTGGATATTTGGTGGAGGGGTTGTTTTGGTTTGTTTGTTTTGTCAACTTGGCACAAGCTAGGGTCATCTGGGGAGAGGAAATCTCAATTGAGAAAATGCCTCCATCAAATTGGTCTTTGAGCAATTCTGTGGGGCATTTTCTTAATTGATGATCAATGTTGAAGGGCACAGATCACTGTGGGCAGCACTACCCATGGGTCAGTTGTCCTGAGTGCTATAATAAAGTAAGTTGAACAGACCATGAAGAGAAAATGAGTAAGTGGCACTCCTGAATGACCTCTGCATCATCAGCAACTGCCACTAGATAACTTCTTGCATGAGTTCTTGCCCTGACTTCCCCCAGTGATGGACTACAATATGAAATTATAAGCTGAAACAAAGCCCATTCCCCTACAGGTTTCTTTTGGCCATGGTGTTTTAGCACAGCAATAAAAACCTTTTTAAAATTTATTTATTATTAATTATATTTTTTTCACTTTGTATCTCAGCTGTATCTTCCTCCCTAATCCCCTCCAAATCCCACCTTCCCTCCTTTGTCTCTTCCCATGTCCCTCCCCAAGTCCACTGATGGGGAGGTCCTCTTCCCCTTCCCTCTGACCTTAGCTTATCAGGTCTCATCAGGACTGGCTGCATTGTCTTTCTCTGTGGCCTGGTAAGGCTGTTCCCCGGTCAGGAGGAGGTGATAAAAAAGGCTTGGGGAGGGGCATGCATGCAGAAAGGGGGGGTGGGACCGAGAGGGGAGGAGGGAGGGTCTTATGGGGGGATACAAAATGAATAAAGTGTAGTTAATAAAAGTTAAATAAAAAAATTTTAAAAAAGGCATCCATTGAGTTCATTCATGTCAGAGACAGTCCATGTTCCCATTACTAGGGAACCCATTTGGAGACTGAGCTGCCACGGGCCACATCTATGCAGGGGTTCTAGGTTATCTCCATGAATGGTCCTTGGTTGGAGTATCAGTCTCAAAAAGAACCCTTGTGCCCAGATTTTTTTTTCTCTCATTGTGGAGCTCCTGTCCCCTGTAGGTCATTCTATCTCTCCTTTTTTTCATAAGATTCCCTGCACTCTGCCCAATGTTTGGTTATGAGTCTCAGCATTTGCTTTGATACCCTACTCAGTAGAGTCTTTCAGGGGTCCTCTGTGGTAGGCTCCTGTCCTTAACTAAAACAAGTAGCATTATGGTAACTGCCATCACTGCACCATTATACATTCCAAACAATGACTCAAGTCTCTTGGCACACAAACATACACAAAACTTCTTACCTTAGGAAGCTTACTCCTCCGGAGGAATAATGGCTTAGCATCCCGGCCTGAATTAATTGGAATTATTTCTACGATTTTAATAGTACCATCACACAGGAAGTAATACAAGACTAATTCTCTACGGTCTCCAAACATTGAGGATGAGTCATCCCACAGGCAGAAGAAACGTAAAACCTTCCCATCATACTGGAGGGCCGGTTTCTGGATGTCAAAAGGCTGATATGGATGAAAGGGTTGCATGAAATCTAATGTCTGCAAATAGAGAAAATATCAGAAATATGACCAGTTTTGTGTAGTCTTTTCTGGGAAGCAAACAATCAATTAATATAAATATTTCATTCTGTAGACTATCCTGTCATACTTTTTAAAAAGATTCCAAGTAAATACTATATACAGATATATGGCTACAGATCCAGACACACAGTTATACAAATTCACAATCAGTTTTAACCTTAAGAATACAGGCAAACATTATGAAGATTTTCATATTCTGTTAAACATTATTTTAACATACCAAACTATATTTCTGGGATATGTTTAAGGTTGACTACAGAGGAAGACAAGGCAGCCAGTCCTGATGATACCTGATAAGCTAGGATCAGATGGAAGGGGAAGAGGACTTCCCTTAGCAATGGACTTGGAAAGGGGCAGGGAGGAGATGAGGGAGGGAGGGTGGGATTGGGAGGGAATGAGGGAGGGGACTACAGCTGGGATACAAAGTAAATAACCTGTGATTAATATAAAAAATAAAAATTAATAAAAAAAAGAATGAACAAACCTAATCTGTGGTGACAGAAGCCAGAGCAGTAATTGCTTCTGTATAGATGGCATAACAAGAAAGGGTGACTTCAGGAGACTTGAACACAAAGGCGAAGGGGAAAAACGAATATTTTAAGGTTATGGAAAATAGATTGTATCTTATCTTTTATTTTCTTTATTTCTTTTTCTTTTTTGCCATGCTGATGATTGAACCCAGAGTCTTACATATGTTGTGGAAATGTTTTACGAGTGAGCTACATCCCCAGCCCAAAATATTTTACCTCCTCTCATATTAGTTACTTTGGTGTACACATTTTTCAAATCACTGACCTGCATTGATTTAAAATCTGTATGTCCAATCCCAAGCTGATTATGTTTAAGTTTTTAAAATGTGTCTTTTCACTAAAAATCACTTCTGTGTGTACTTGTTTATATTTTTGCAAAGAGAAAGAACTATATATTGACATGTATATATACATATATATGTCAATATATATAGCTTATATATATAAATATATATATATGTAAATATATATATATGTATATATATATATATATATATATATAATTTAATTTTGTTGAAAAAAAACAACACCTTCAGATAGCCAAGAAATGGAAGCCCAGTGGAAACAGAAACAGAGCAAATAGAGTCTACACAGAAACTCTTTGGCTGGATTCTGTTCTAGAAACTGGGTTCAATAGTCTTCTTGATGCATCTTTCCTACAACTTGCAACCTCTCAGTCCTGCTTTGGAGTATAGCTGCCTCCATTCTATTTGTTATAAGCAAATGATATTGTTATGTAAGGAAAAATTTATTTGAGAGATGCTATTGCAAATTGAACTATATAATCATTATATAAATTCCTGAATTTTATGTCTGTCTAGGGCAGTCTCAGTACACTCTTATCTCAAGAGGAAAACAAAAGAGCTTTCTAGAGGCTCTTCAAGCTTTATCCTTGATATTTACATGAAATTATGGGACCTCTGCTTTCATTAATTAAATTGCTTTTAGTGTATAAGACTGCTAAGAAATGCATTATTGATTGTATACCATTAAAATCCTGTTCAGTTTAAGCAAAATACTTTAATTTACATATCAAGGATGCAAACGCTTAAGTAAATCTATAAAATCCAAAATAGAAGCTAGTATTAAACTCTTAACTTTCCAAAGATTCGTATATTTAATGATGGGTTTTCTTTGCCCTAACGGAATATTAAAATGGTTCTTATAGTCTGAAGAGCAATTATTTAAAACATTTGCTTTTCCTTGGTATTTATTTTCAATTATGTAAGTTTTTCTGCTTTAGAAATATACAAACTCTGGCAGTATTCTGTACATTCATACCATTTAACAGAATTCACAATCACTATCATATAACTGTTAGTGAATACATATTGCTATATGCAAGGAGCAATAACTTGTATGGATATTTCCCCTTCAGATTCTCTTTGGTGCTTCTAAGATTTTGTATGTATCATACAGAGCATAAAAGTGAGTCCAAACCTGAAGATCTCCATTTACAGTGATGCAAACTCATTTTACCTTAGATATTACAGAACTCACATATATCTCACAGAAAGACTGTATGCCTTTAATGTCTAAAAAGAATTTTGCTAAGACTAACAGGCAGGTACAGGAGAATGATCTCACACATAGCTTTTAAAGAGAGATAAAAACAAAATCAAAGAAATTTTCATCTTAAATTTTGTTATCATTCTGAAAGGAATGAATTATAAAGTTTGAAAACAATACAAATCAGATGAAACTAACTTATGGAGACAACAATGAGAATAGTGCTTATTCTTGAGTGGAAAGAAGGGCTGATTTGAAAAATACATGAAGGGATATTCTGGGAGGAATGCTTAACATTGTAATTTGGATGGAGGGTAAGATTTATTCCAAAGTACATTTAATGCTTATATAGGTGGCTATGCATAGTCATATATCAACAACAACAACAACAACATAGTGAGGAGGGGTAGCACACACCTCTAATCTCAATATTTCAGAATCAGGAGGACCAACCAAGAGTTCAAGGTCAGCCCAAGTTACACAGTGAATTCAATACTAGCCTGTGCTATTATAGTGAGATCCTGTCTCCGAAATTTTTAAATGAATAAATACAAAAATAAAAAGTAGAAAAATGACAATATGAAAATGTAGGTAAGAATCCAAAGATATCCATTGTAGTTCTCATAAAGAACTTGGCTAGGTATGTGACCTAAACAATGATACTTTATATTTTGGGTATTCAGAAAATAGAAAACAAGGGTCAAGCAATCAGTTTAAAGAACTACAGAACAATAACACTGAGTCTTTGTTCCTTATAATGGGATCAGATTTTAAATACATATCTCATAACTGGGAGAAAAGAAAATCATGACTACTTCACTCTTCTAGGCTATTTCAACACCCAATCTCAAAAAGTTCAAAGAAGAAGGAAAAAGTCATGTTCAAGGTTTGGTTTATTTAATCAGTTGTACAGTTGTAGAATTTTCCCAGCCAGAGAGAGGCAACTAAACCCAGCATCCACAAGCAGAAGAAATGTAAGCTCAACTCATATACAATCAGTGACCATGGGTTCCTAGACATTATCCCACTTAAGCATCTCACTAAATACTCTACAGCTGAAAGGGAGGCTCCCATAAAATACTGGAGGGTAAGTGCCTTGGGAGGCTGCAAGGAGAGAAATGAGGGGATCATTCCTGTTCTGTAGCCACCATTCAGTCTTCCCATCTATCCAAAGAATAACAAGACAGCTCTCACAAAACCATGATTCAAAAGCTCTTCTGTATCTGCAGCAAGATCACTAGCACTCTTCACCAGTTCTTTGAAGACAGGAAATCACAAATGGATCAGTTCTTACCTCTCTCCACATTTTCATGTAGGGATCTACTGGACGCTGTCCTGGAGGATTCAATTTGATTCCTATTTTCTTCAAGAAGTTTTTAGTGAATGGATCACAGTCATAAATCTTGAACGTGCGTCCATAGAAGACAACATCTATGCTGATATTGAAGTGATGCACAGTATAAAATTGATCATCATCAGGAGGTGGAAGAGGAATCTGATGACGCCTGATAGAAGTGCCTGCAGGACAAATAAAATACAGTTGTTTAGCTATATGGTTAACGAGAAATTATGGCATATCTCAACAAGAACCATGCTTCCCTGTGGCAGGTAGTACGCAAGGGGTCATTTCTAGGAGGCAACATGATATATTTAAACTCGAGTTAAGGTAAATCAAGGTCCAGAGTTCACTAGCCAGCCTGATATGACACTTGAATTTCCTTACTGTTATTAGGGAAGTATTTTTATAAATCATAAAAACTAGAAGACAGGAATAGTAGTGTTAGCACAATGAGCAAAAAATGTTACTCTGTCATGTACTTTCTTACAGTAAGTAAGCTTGCTTTCAGTTACTAAATAGAATGCAATGCATTCAACTAAACAGTGCATTAGGCCCAATAGGAATCAAGTTTTTTGCTTGATTCAAAAAGCCAACAAATAAATAAACTAACAATCTTTAGTTTATGTGTGCCAGAAATATGATTTAGAGCTTCAATAAGCATGAATGACTTTAGGCTGCTTGAAAACCTCATAGAATCCGTCTTCATCTGGAAACGTATTCTTCCTGCTTCCTCCATTACTTCTGCCTATCTCCACACAACCACCTACATCAAAAGAGGATTGCTAGAGATTTCATAGTTTCAGCCAGTACACTGAATCATGGTTTCTTGATCTCATCACATCTTCCATATACAACTCTGTGGTGCTCATTCTCTTCCTGGTAGAGACAAAGGGATAGTTCACTATTCAATAGAGGTGAACAGCAGCAAAAAGAATCAGCCTTTCTTGAGCCAGTTGCCTAAGCCCCAATTCACAAGGGGAAAGAAGCAAAATGAGGATGAAACAACACCTACAAACACAGGTGGCACAACAAGAGAGGAACCTTGACTTTAGGGGACCTAAGACTTCTGTGAGCAGTTAGTAGTCGTACTAGAATAAACAATAAAAACGTCTGCCCGTCATGCTGCAGGAAGGAACTGCCTCTGTCTTCCAACGTTACACACCAGCCTGCACTAGAAAGCAAAGCAATCTTTGTCTTCCAAAGTTGTCTGTGTATATAGAGCTTTTAAGAATGAGCTCCGAGCAATCGGCAGTCAGTATATCTTGAGGTTCACAGAGAAATAGAAGCTACTCATGCAGTTGCCTCGCAACATCTATAACTGACTTAAGCATGAGAACCTACCCTCAGAGCAAAGGATCCCAAGTTCCTAATAATTCAGTAACACATGGTTTGTGTGACCTACGTATAGAAGCATTTTAATATACAGACATCAACTTAGCTTCTTTATATTGTATATAGTATTGAGAATATTGCCTTTTTTCAAAGTCTAGAAATACTTGAAACTTATTTATTCTTGTTTATTATAAGAACAGTTAATGAATAATCTTTATGTACCAGGAACTGTGTTCCACTACTCCACATTATTCTACTTTTAAGTTTGTTGAGGAGAACTTAAGTAAAATCAATCATGTTCATCTTCTTTTCTTCATAGCAATTTTTAATTACTTAGTACATTAAATTAAAACAATAAAACTATAAAATTAAAACTGGAATAGACTATTTTTAAATATACTATATAAAAGATGATATAATTTTACTGCAAGGAATTATACTTCAATTAGCCTTTAATTCATGCCACTGAAAACAGCATGCAAATTATTTAATCCTTCAAAATTAGATATTTAGAACAAATTGCACACTTGAAATCTATAAAAGGATGGGCATTTCAGATATTTCCAGGAGCTACTATATGCCTCTTTAAATGTACTTGCATTGTGGCAGGTTATTAAATAATCAACAATCTGGAGTTTCTTCAAAACTTTCATCTATGGAACTAGGGAAATGGCTCAGTGGATAAAGTATTTGCCTGGAATTGCAGAACACAGATAAATACATGTCAGGAGTGGCAGCTGCCTGTAATCCCAGTACTCAGGAAACAGACACAGGGGATACCCAGGGCATGCTGCCTATCTAGACTAGACTGAATCTGTGAGCTTAAGGTTCAGTGAGAAAGCATGCCTCAGTAAAGTAGAATGGGATCAAGGAAGACATCTAGCATAGATTTTGAATGTCCATATATAAACTACATACATGCATGCATGCACGCTCTTACATGCACACGCACACACACACACACACACACACACAGAGGTAGAGGGAGACAGACAGAAAGTGAGGAAGAGAGAGAAGGACTACATATATTAAGTGCAAAAAACTACACCTATACTATAATGATTTGAATTTAAATGTCCCCCATAGTTTTGGACATTTGAATATTTGGTCCCCTATTGATGGCACTAAATGGGAGGTATAGAAAGAACGGCCTTGTTGGAGGAAGTATGTCACTGGAGTCAGGCTTTGGGTTAGTTCTGCTCTGTGCTTGCTGTTAAAGAAATTAGCCCTCAGCGTCCTCTGTGCTGCAATGCCTTCACTCAACCATAATGAACTCTAACCCTCTAGAACCATAAGCTCAAATAAACCTTTCTTCTGTAAGATGGTGTTTTGTCTCAGCAATAAAAAAGTAAGTAATACATATACTTACAACTTGTACTTCATTTTAAGAATTCAAATAAGCTATAGTTTTTGTTAAGTAAGACTTTGAATAGGAATGTTATCACTTTCAAGGTGTGTAGGAGTAGACTATAGTGGATTTAAATAATAATTACCTTCATTTTTCTAGACTAGACTTTTTTTTTATACATCTAATCAAGACAGAGACAGGCAGTACATGAATTATCAGTGTTTGCTTCATAGATGAGAAACTAAAACTAAGAATGCTAACTAAGAATGCTTAAGTGTCTTCACCAATAGTATATCCTAAGAAATGAGAGTAAAGGATTTTGAACTTTAGCTTTTAGACTAACAAAACACCATTATTTTCCATCATTTTCACTGAGTTATATCTCATTACACATCATCCAGAAAATACCTTAGTAAAGGAAAAGAAGAAGATCCAATTAAAAAATTGAATAAAAATGGGCTAGAGAGATACCAACTACAAGGAAAAGAAGAGAAATTGATGGTGAAGCTCCTCTTTTAAAACAGCCTTACTTCTGTCTAAAGACTAATTTCCAGAATCAGCCTCTTTCCTCCTGTACCAGTCTCTGCATCACATTTCCACCCCTCCAGAGCCTGCATCTTAGATCTCCTCACAGTTTCCTCATTTCAGGCCCCATTAGATGCTTTTGAAAATACCAGGAAATAGTACTAGAAAAGTCCTGACTATCTATGGGCTGGAAGCAGAAAGTGGATCTACTAACAAACAAGAAAATTTTACTAACAAAAAATCCAATATCACAATTATACAGTGTGAATCAGAAACCCAATGTGGACCATTTGTAATGTATGGTTGCTCATGAGAGCTTTTAGTCATCCATTCTCATGATATATCAACTGTGTCCTATAGAGGGTTATAACATCCATTTATGGGGATTTGTATATTTATAGTTTTCCACGATAAATGGCAAGAACTCTACCAGTAGAAGTTTGTTATAGCATACCAAACAAATGGGCAGGATGTCATGCCTTTGGCACACACTGAAAAGCAGTTCAAGTCATTAAAGAAAACAAATAAAAATGTTACACACAAAAAAGGAGAAATGAAAGCAGCATGTCAGTCCTTTACTTTTTTCAGTGTTTGTCTTCTCAGCTGTCCCAAAAAGACACCCTGAACACACATCCAAGCATCAAGTTCCTGCCTTACAATTTGTCCTCATCTTTCATCCTTTAAGCCCTGTTATTTGACTACACTCAAACTTTAACTTTCTAACGGTTCCCTGTGGTGGATATCAAAGTAGCTATATATCCATTTATGCTTAACATGTTTCCATGGCATTCCATGTCTTAGATTTTTGTCATAACATTAAATTCAGCAGTGTAGAATTCACCTTGCAGAATTAAAAATCCAACATTTATTTCAGTTACATTGCACACCTAGGGTGAACAGGATAATATTTAAGTGAATGAATATAAAAATGGAATTGCTCTTGTTGTTGTGTCTATTAAATTTATATCTAGTGATCAGATATGGCAGAGAATTGTTCCCTTCTTTTGTGTTCATTTTGTTCATCCACTGAAGTAACTGTTCCTATTTTACTGATATTTTTCTAAAATATCACCTTAGCAGTATAAGTTTTACAACAGTAACTTTTTCATATATTGCTAATATGACATATACTTAGCAATGAGTGAACAAAATATTAAACAACCCCATCTGTGAACAGAATGAGAAATAATAACCGTATGCAAGTCCCCATGAACCACTCCATCAGTACAAAAATATGACCTGGTAAATTCTGAAACATCCTCTTGCATTATTACCTTTGTGATTAGTTTTCATAACACATTCTATAATCTATTCCCAATTATCTTTGAACTTCTTGTTCCATTACTTACCCACATTTCTTCCATGCTATCCCTTTAGGCTATGCTCTCTTTCTATTCCACCTTTAACTGGGGAAACTTTTGAGGTTCCACTCAAATTCTAAGTTCCTAAGTGGTTCCTAGCTTTCCCACTTCTGATCCTTCAAACATCTGGTACCACTGATGACACCTGCACTGTGTAACAAGCGTTATATACTACCTCCCATATTTTCTTTCCTCCCCTCATCTCTCATTTTGCTTCAACAATATTTTATTGAATGGAATATACACATCTTTATTCATGTCTGCTCTTAAATACTTTTTTAAAATGTTTTATTTGTGCGTATGTTATATGCATGCAGATATGTCTGTTTGTGCATGCTAGTGTGTGTGTGTGTGTATGTGTGTGTGTAGGCTAGAGGTCAACATTAGGAATCTTTGTCTATTGCTTTCCAGTTCTTTTTAAAAGACAGTATCTCTCACTGAACCTGGAAGTCACTGACTTGGTAAGAATAGCTGGGATTACAGAGTGCACCATCATGCCTGGTTTATTCCATGAATGATGAGGAATCCTTACTCAATTCGTTGTGTGTGTGTGGCAAGCACTTTACTGACTCTGTTATCTCCTATGTCCTTTTTACTTTAAAATTCTATGTTG